AATTCCAACGACAACATCTGCAAATACCCGGACAAGCAAAGCACTTGCACCTTGGAGGGAATGATGGGCGAAGGACAACACAAGCACTGCAGGTTCAATGTTCCATGATAATCATTCCAAAGAGCATAAGCGACTGAGGGAAGATACATGCCAGATCGCTGCAGCATTGATGCCTTGGGAAGCACCTTCATACCTTGTCATATATTCTGTTCCACAATCTTGGGACAGAACAAAACACTGTTGGTTTTAGGGTAGCAATGTCGTCCAGTAGCTCAGTCACCTCACCATGGTAGAAGCCAATGGACATGCCTCTGAATGTCGAGATGATCAGGTTCACACGCTCATAGATGTGGGCAAGAGTAAGGTAAGATATGTGGCGGTGTCCTGGCCCGGATCCAGTATCAACAACACCAACTGTGGCCGCTGCATTGGCGATAAGGTTTCCATGTGTCAACATTGCGCCTGCAGAGCAGAGCCACACACTGTGGTCATTCAACATACTTGCACAAACCCTAGGTAGGACCTCCACTGGATGATGAGTCAACGCAACAATCCTAGAGCATGTTTTAGCTTGCATTCTGTCCGAAGCCGTGGAGTACATGCGTGTTTGTGTCAACACAGGTTGGCAGAAATACCTCTTGCACTCTCTGAAAATAAAGGAACTGTTCCTTTGAACTGTAAAAGGAAATGCAGTTCACAACCATGAGTCATCCATCGGAAGAGAAATGTCAACTCCACGATACCTCCCATGCACCTGCAGTACCCCATAGGCACTGCACTTAAAACCTGCCAGGAGGGGTGCAGGATGCAACAAGCATCGCATTCCCACGCAACTCCCTCAAGTAATGCCCACAAGCTGCAGCTGTACCATGCACCTTTAGGCACACCAGTTGTCCCACTGGTGTAGGAAATGGTTGCCAAGTCTGATGATGAAGGTGGGATGTGTGGCCGCAGGTTTTCCCTTCCAAGACTCTCAACTTGTGCCAGGGTGAGGATGCGGCAGGAGCTGCCAGGTGGGGCTCTGGGCAGCTGCCCCTCATCCAGGCCCCAAACCACCTGACAGTCAATGACAACAGATCTCACTGCTGAAATATGGCAGCCAACGTTCACACACAATGAAGCCATGGTGCTTTCCCAACGCCTCCCAGTGGCGATTGCCATGAAGAAAACTGCTCCTACGCTGCGCACAGTTCTTGATACAACGAAAACCCCATGATAATGGACAGCAATGCAACCTGATTTGTATACACTGCAAAGCAGGAAGCTGAATAATGGTGCATTCAAGTCACGAAAGACGTCCAGCCCGATGTCCAGACGTCCAGACGTCCCATGTTCCAAGGGAGTTGCACTTGGCAGATTTGTACTTTCCACGATGGACACGTATTAGCAACAGCTTCTCCCCTGGTTTCAATACAAATTGGACTGTGGATAAATTGCCCGGTAGCTGGACACAAGCAATACACTATTCCACTTACCAGCAGGTTGATCTCTGGGCAATCAGGAAGGCACTGCAGCATGTTGTTAAGCACCGCAGCAGAGCAGCCAACACATCTGACCTCCGCGTGAGTGGATATGTATTTCACAGCATCTGGCCCCAGAGTATCGTAAAGAGGGACAGGCACCATTGAATAAGCATGGGCGGCACTGTCCAAGAGGACCCACTCTGCAGAGACACCAAGAGCAACAGTTCAACAGGGAACAAGGCCACAAGCAAATGCAGTACATTGATGCACTGCAGTCAAGAGGGGACGGTGATGGGGAGTGCACCTTTGCAGTTCGTCGAGTATATTCCCACAGTCGACTGTGGCCCAAGTCCCAGTGCGCACAAACCAGAACCAATGGCAGTTCGGGCCTCGCCAGCCTGCAAAATTAACAGCAGCATTTGGGGCTCAGGAGGTGAGCCATGCAGAGTCCAGACAGCACAAAACCAACTTGGACACCAAATCGGGCAGGCATGGCTTTGTAAGCAGGATCCTTACCATGGCACTGCATTCACTATTCACTGACACAACTATTCGCAAGTAAGGCCGCACATGAGGAATCAATGGCAACAGTCTCCCTTTCAACCTGGCCCAAAACTGCAAAAAACGCAAGGCCATTCACAAAGAAAGAGATCCAGGACATTGGTTTCGAATGCAACTAAGCTGGCAGAAAAGCGATTTGCAACAACATGGTGGGGTGCTGTTGGCTCCAAGAGCAACTTGCAACACGTATTTGCCAAAATTGACAATTGCCACGTAACATAAATCAGACCTGGTGCACAGTTCGACTGAAAGCAGACGTGTAAGTGCTTAATCTGAGCAGGAGTTCCACTGTCCAACTGACTGCATGTGCAGTGTTCAGCAATAAAACTGCTTGATCCACTACCCAGCTGCCAGCATGTACCTCTTCTCAACACAATCATCCTACAGAAAGCCCAATCTGGTTCTCTCACACTAACAAATGCTTTCCTGAATTAGCTGGCAAATTGCCATTGCTTTTCACAATTTTAACAGTGGCAGGATTTCATACTGCGTATGTCCGATCCATTGCTTTGTATGTGATGAAAATGCACGTGGGATGGAACTGGCCAGTTCTTGACCTGCAGGTGCAGGCCATTGCCATTCAGACGATTTGCTCAATGTGGTAATCTCTTCATTCATGCTGCCCAAGCTTTGCACCAAGCCACCCGTACTTGAATAACGATCCCCTCTACTAACAGCCCATTGCATGTACGGCCCACATCTGGGTCAGCACAGCACCATTTGAACATCCTCTGCACCCCCGAACACACCATACCTCAGCATACGTCATCCATTTGTAGCCCCCATAACCTCCCTTGGCCAGTTTCTCACGTGTTCCCAAGTACGGCAACTGAAACACAATGACAAGGACATCAACATAAATTGTGATCAGATATCAGCGGGGAGAGTGTTGTCCCTGCTGATGAACTCAAAACATGAAAACAATGTGGAAGAAACGATGGCGATCATCGAACTAAAGGTACAAGGGCAGTGCTTGTCATATTTCTGCAATATAATCAGGCAAATTGCTCAGCACAGATTTACAGCAAATGACTGTACCGATGGAAATCGCGAGATGGTAGTCTCTAGATTGTCATACAGGCTGCAGATGTGGTCATCAGGTGACGGAAATCTCGCCACGAGCTTCTCTGGGGAGACTGACGACCTTTGCAGCACAAGCCACACGACACCTTCCACAGCAGTCCAGAAGGGATTGCCAACAACACATTCTCTTCTGAGATAATCCTCTTCACCCACAGCAGCCGGTGAACAGATGAACGCTGCCTAGATCATTGTCCAATCAATCAATCCGAGGAGAGACACAGCTCGAGCAGAAGACGCTGTGCTTCACAAGTCAGGAACAGGCAGCGCACTCTGCCCTTTCCGCCCGGCATCGCAATATCACCGCTTGCCTGCAAACTTCCCAAGGACCGTCATGGGTAAGCTTCTCTGGCAGGAAGACACCATGTGTTATTTCGACATTTTCGGGGAGCGTTGCCGATGCGCCACGCAGATCTATGCTGCCGCTGTCCTCTTTGCGTTCTTGCGGGCGCACATGGCCCTGAAGCACGGCAAGCCTCCTGCCAGCACGACCATCCATCGCAATCCTCTCCCCTCCTGCAACCCAGTCTATCGTTTCTTCCCGCGCTCACGGGCAGTATTGCTGCTGATTTGCGTGCGCAGCGGCTAGCATGGCCTCAAGGTCTCCTCCTCCGCCGCGCGCTCCAAGAAGGCGCTCCAATGGGATCGTTCTGTCGATGGAATCCGTATACCAAAGCCAGGGCTTCCTTACGCATCGAATTTGCTAATTGACCAGTCCGGATGGAACTGTGGTTGCCTGTACCTTCAGAACGGTCGAACCAGTGCCGGTGCACCAACGACGCGGAGTCGCACACAATCAATCCCGTTGCAGGCGATTTTACCTCCACGACCCCCCCATTTTATCCATTGTGACGTTACTGTAGTTATAGCACCACTGTGTGTACTACACGCACATACACACAGGAAGGCGCCCTTTCGGTGGATTTGGAAAGGAAATTTCTGCCCTTGACGATGTTGATCCTGGGCTGCTGGGTTCCTGAACAAACAATAGTTGCTTTGCTTTGCAGCTTGTCATGCGCCCGACATAGCCTTCGTTGCTACTGCTCTACTGTACTCAATGCATGGTTGTTACACCTCGACAAATGCACACATACTTAAGAATTATCCTTGTCTCTCTTTCACAATTATCCAGGCCACAATACCAACATTCAGAGGCAGATGGGCGTAAAACAAAGAAAACAAAGATTACATGTCCACACACCTAACAGTCAATGTTGCAAAAGATCGTTACCTGTGCAGCTCAACCCGTAGGCATGTTCGGCAACCTGCCGAAAGAGGCATGGTTGACAGGGACAAGCTGCACGTTTTGGAGTACTCGTGATATCTTGTGAGATTTTGGTCAGGATGGGTAGGCTCGGGATATCACAACTGCTTCAGCGTCCCAACGGAATGATCCCGCATTTCGTTGGCACAAATATACAGATTACAACACTTGCACAAATTCTGGGAGAATCGGAGTTGTCTTGACATGTCCCTAGGGCTATTGTTCAAAACTGTCACCCTATTTGGGGTGGAAGAAGTACCTTGCACCCCACCAAACACCGTTCCCATACTGACAACACTTGTCATAATGGAAGCCATCTCAGTTTGATAACGAATTCCTGTACTCGTGCAGAGTGAATTCGTGAAAGAATGCATAGAACAGGAACTACGCCCCAGTATGTCCTATTGATGTTACAGGAAACACAATAGCAACTCTCAATATGCAGCTATGCAAGAAATATGTCAGTATGGCTCCTTGTCCGCAATGCTCCCCATCCCACTCCCTATCCCGCATCAACTAGTCCCATGTCATCCACCCTGTTCCTCAGTGCCCATCTCAGTTCCCCATTAACAGAAATTCACGTGCCATCCTCATCACATCCCCCCTTCTTCTGTAGTACTCACCCAGACGATTCTGGGAGTACTCAAGATAGTCGAAGTCGATGGGAGAGAAGCCAGCCTGAAGTATAGCCCACACTCCCCAGAAGATATGTGACGCCAACGAAAAGAGGTCGGCTTCTGCAACAAGTCGTTCCACTTCCTCATCAGTCGGTGGTACCTACAGAGCGTAGATGAATTCGGTTGCAACAGGCCAGGTGACATGCGTTGCACAGAAGGCCTCCAAGCAAGGAATGAATGCCAACAATATCCTTGTTGCAGTCTCCAACATGAAGAAACTCCCAGCAGCACTCACGAAAAGAAGGCACGTCGTGGCCTGGCTGCAACAGGGCCAAATTGCCGTACAGACAATCTGTTGCTGTGATACATCAAGGAGTGCAACGACACCAAAGTCTGGTGCAGTTATCCAGTCGGCAACAAGCGATTCTGATGAATGCCAAGGCGGCCAGGGAATACGAAATTGCCAGCAGCCACCTCTGGGGCCCCCTCAACGCTGCTGTGCAAGGCACAAGAAACTGTGATGTCTGTTGACCATCCGTCCTCAACTATTGCCTCTATGAATCTGCCTCTGATTTCCAAAACAACTTGCCAAAAACAACCTCTAAGCAACATGCTGGTCACAGGAGCAAGGCCGATTGAGCGCATAGACCAAACTGAAACGCCAATTAGCACAGGTCGTCAGTGCCCACCTCTGTGCCGTGCTGCAGATACGCTGCCACAAAGCGTCTTTGTTGGTCATGATTTGGATATCTCGACCAGTCACACTCGAAGCCCGCATACTCATTGAAATGGTTCCCGAAGTCAAATCCCCGAAACGAATAGCAACCATACTCGAAGTCAATGAAAGTCATCGTCCCCTTCTCGTTGTCGAATCCACCAGACCCAGGATCTCTCAGCAACAAAATATTGCCTGAAATGAGCAACACAAGGGTGCTTGGGTGGTAACTGCAGCCAGTGGAACACAGACAGCAGAAGCACAAATCACATTCCCCACGGGTGCTCAGGAAACTGGAGTCAGAAACATGGACAGGCATCCATTTCCTTCCGTAGCTTTGCATTCATGTTGGGGGAAGGCATTAGGTGTAAGGATAAGCGTCCCAAGTCTGCGGGGCCTTATATCATTTGCAAGAATCTTGTGTGTTAATGGCAGCATCGTTTAAGAATGTCGCTGGAATAACAGTACTGAGCATTCCAGCAACAGCTACCAGAATTGTCAACATGGATTAGATTCTTTCAGGTGCTTGGCGTCTCATACTCGATGGCATGGAACCATGCCATACATAGCCTCCTGACTTTCTTCACCTGCCAGAAGGTCATTGTGGGTGAACACGACTGGCGAGCGGCTGTCCACGCACATCTGCTCCAGTTCATCCAACTCAGCTGCTATCCTGTCTAGATGGAGGCCCTCAAACCTCTTCTGATCCTCAGCCTTGGTGAAGCTGATACTGTTGGCAACACTAATGAATTTCCTCACGAGAGGAAACAATTGTGGCACCCTTGGTATATCAACCTCAGTAGAATGGAATTCATGGAGCTTGCAAGCAATGCGGGCTGACAGCACAGGATGCGCAAGTTCCTCAGGCTCCAGGGTGTGGCAATCCAGGAATGCCTCAATCCTGCCGTTTGAAAATTCAGCCAGCACCTGTTCAACACACCCCCAAACCCATGTGAGACACCGCCATGCACAACAACGACATCACATCTGCCTTTGACCTCAGCACCATCAATCCCTGCAAATCATATCTCTATTCATTCCAGAGGAAGCAAAATCTGCCGGCAGGTACCCCAACCATTGCACAACGGCTCAACTGTGGGCTCAACACTTGGCAAAAACGCCAGAAGCATGAAATACCAGCAGAAATCATTAGGCCTCAATTACAACAATTTGAAACAACATAAAGATAATTTGAACACATTAACTTTCCAGGCAAAGTCAGCCAACATTGCCTCTGTGTTCCCGTTTGCACCATGCCTGGTGCCATCCTTTCATCCAAGGACATATCCCTTTGCTGGGCTCACCCCTACCTGTGCACCAAAACCAAGTGGGGCAAGAGCTTTTATGCATTTGGCTTCTGTGCCACGATCTATGAACTTCTCTGTGTTGTTGCCAAAAACGCGGACAACAACCGGAGACAACCCTGAGGACTGCGGTGCTTCCACTTTCAGCAGCACATTGGTCACACCGCCAGACACCTCAGTTACCTGTCATACAAAAGACAGCATGCCATAGCATGGTGAATATAACAAGCACATGAGAGCAAAGATATGCCGTGGAGTGCACTGCAGCACAAGGCCATGTTGCGCAGAACAAATTTCTGAATTCGATTGCCCAACCAACGTTTGAATGCTTGAATGCCGAGAATATTGTCACTTCTTCTCTTGAAGGCGTTGGCCACAGATTGTCAATCTTTGGAAACTCGTGATAAGGGCAGATTGCATATACGCACAACTGGAGCGTGTGATTGTAACAGTTGGACTTGACCATTGTTGTGGCGAAATTGCGCGTGTTGAGACAACACGCCACACTTCCGTTGATTGCATTTGTCCCAAGGCGATGGCAAACCAAGCTCTGCACATTGCAGGCGATGACACGCACACAGATATCCAAACAATGTTTGTCCTTTGCATGCATCGTGCTTCTGTCCTTTTGTTGCAAAAAGGCATTTGCGAACCCGTTCTTGCATATGATCGCCATTGTCTGCATAAAAAGATCAGATTGTCAATTGCAAGACACAGAGACAGATGCGGCATTCAACATCACCAGCCTGGGTGTTTCCTTCCGAGGCATTCCACAAGCCATCTGGTGGTTCCATTTGCAGCTAAGCATACTTGACAAGCATCCCACCCGTTCCCACAGGTACGCACGTAGATTGTCCCTGTTTGGACCAAGCCACAGGCCAACCGGCAGTGTTCGCTACACTACCGTCCCTTGGTTTGGTGGGGAATGGACACAGAGAAACCACTGTGGGGACCCGCTTTCGTTTTCTAACAGCACCCGGCATCGCCTGGCAGGCAAAAAGGCGGCGCTTTGGACACCTGGACACCTGCAACGAACTATTTTCTGGACTCTCGGCGGTCGACCCGCCGAACGTTTTCAGTACAGGAGCAGCCACCTCCAGGACAGCACGACGTCGCTAACAGATTCCTGCCGATTCACCGCCGCCGATGCTGTGGGGGAACAACTTGGAGCAGGCACGCGTGGTGGACGCGCGATCAGCATGGGCGGTGCTGTTCACGACTGCGCACCTCCAGGTCACCGTCTTTCAGCCCACGCCAGCTCTCGAACGCCAGTCGGCACACCTCCCGGCAATCCTGCTGCTTGCAGTGCTCGCGTACGGCAAAGGGCAGAGCCTGCACACCTGCCTGGGCGCTGTCCTCCATGCCGCGGCCTGCGATGCGGGCACCCCTCTCATGCAATATGTACGTGCTGGTGTGAAAATCTGAATGGGCGAGCTTCGAAAGAACTGAATTGAGTGTGATTCATCACAGCTCGTCACACTTTAAGTTTGGCTGTACGATGCTGATCAAAGCAGAATAGATCTTAATAAGTATTGTACATTTTGGGGGGAGTACAGCTCGCGGACTGCAGGTTTGCGGTTTCTGCAGAGGGCGAAGATCGCGGGCCAAACATCACTACATCACTAGGAAAAAACAGTCCAGATGACACAATCCTGACACGGTCTGTTCAAAATCCAACTGTGTACTTTCGGCAAATGTGCTCTCAAAACTACACAGTTAGTACACGCATCGACACAGTTTCAAGCGTGTACCCTCAAACAACTGTGTAGACTACACGGTTTTCTAGGATACACGGTTAAAACTGTGTCAATGTGTGCACTAACTGTGTAGTATTGGGACCAAATTTGCTGAAAGTACACAGTTGGATTTTGAGCAGGCTGTGTCAGGACCATATCAACTGGCCCATTTTTTTCTGGTGTATGTAGAGCACAGCAAAATATAGAGGCCCATCGAAACAGCAGTGCAATGCTGGGCACCACCTGCACGGCAGGCCATGGCGTTATCTGCTTCTCCACTGGTAGTCAATGCAATCCAATGTAGCGGATGATGCCTGTTCATGGGATGAACGCTAAGTCAGCAAATTTCTGTTCCAGGAGACGTGGATGGGGCCGACGGTGGGCCAAGCATTCTTTGGAGACCGCTAGCATGATATGTTTTTCACTTTCAATTTTTCCAACATCAAAGCACTTTCGAAAGTTTTACTACACCAAGCAATGCACTGAAGAATATCCTTTGGATGTCTCACTGAGCCACTGCCGTCAATAATACTGCGCAATGATATATATTGTTCATCGCATTGTTGCTTGTTCCACACGGGAAGGCGCCCAGTGGGAGAATATAGTCGCCACAAATTGCAAGTGACCAACGCTGCGTTTCCGCAACTGTTATGGTGAGAAGAGCATGGCTGGGAAGCCCTGGATCAATGCATCTGTTAGTAGATATTTCCAGCCAAATCTTGCCTGCGGACTGTGGTGAACTGCGCTCACTGAACGCAATTAGAGTATTCAAAACATTGTGAATAAGAACCCAGACGACAGGACACCTTTCAAAACCAAAGGGAGAGACATGCACACATGCATTGTACGCTTGTTTGTTTGTTTGTTTGTTTCTTCCTTACATGGATGCATCGACATGACGTCACGGCATCGATCAATGTAGCGTACCATCCTGTGGGCGAGGGGCACGTCCAGGCCCAATTCTATATCCGAAAGCACGCCTCTAATGGCGGCCACAGCTGCCACCGAACCCCAGGAAACTCCCCCACAAAAACAAGAGAAAATATCTGCAAGCCAAAAATCAGAGTGATAGGCTATTCCTCGTTCACCGCTATTGCGCAAATGCGGTCACTCGCTGAGCTCAGAAAAGCTCCCAATCGGATGCATTGTACGCTTCTGATGAATGATCCTGAAGCAGAGCGCTAGGAAGTCTAAGTGCACTGCATGTATTGTCAGTGGTGATGTCCAGGCTTAAAAAAAACTTACGTTGTAAAAACTGATCGTATTTACGTTTTTACACGTAAAAATGAGAAAAATACGTAAATACAACGTAAAAATTTCCCGGTGTACCTAAGGATAGTACATACAGATTTACGGAGCCTGGAGAGTGGCATCCAGACGTCCTGGAAGGGGATGAAAACGAGTCTTTGTTAAACGCTATTATCGCCCTTGCCAAGGGCGAGGCGGACATTGTGTTGCGGGTGCTGGAGATGGCGGAGGTCTGATCATTGTACGCAACTTTCATAATGTAACCTGGGTGTGCCAGGGAACCGCAAACACGTAAAAATGACCGTAGAAATAGGCGCTTCTGCAAATTTACGTTTTTATGCGTAAAAACGTAAAAGTAAAAAGGTAAACGTAAATATAAAAACCAATCCTATTCATGCCGATGAGTGTGAGAGTGGCATGGAGTCTTCTCCACAGGCCATATCTTAAACTATATATTGTGCGCCAGACAATGTATAATGTGCATGGAATGGAACATTTTGCACGCATGAAACGTAGTACAGTTAGAGAATATCGGTATTTCGGTACTTGGACGGTTGTCTCGTGTTGAAATTCACCCATCATGATGACCGGTAGACTCTCTGGACGTGTGCCGCAGTGGGAGATGAAAAGATGTGAGGGATCTGCATGCTAATCCAACCCCTGTGATGGCCCAATAACCATTCCACATTGCGATGGTCGCCATGGGAACCACGCATAATCCTCTCCCGTACTCGTGGGCATCTGATCTACGCTGACTGCCTCAGATCCACTTGGTTTGGGAGCGCACTGAACGATCAAGACGTCGCCCCTTGCGCGGACTGGCTCCTCACGAAACACTGCTTGTCACGGCGACGATCGCCGCCAAAAATAGCAATAGCAGCAGAAGGGCGTTTTAAACGAGCAGCGGATGACCAACCGCTGGCCAACGCGCGCAAATGTCCTTGTAGAAAGGCTTGAAGCTGCCGTCCAGAGCTCCACAATCAATCGCAGCAGCTCCTCAAAGGTCGATGAAGTCAAAAACGCCGGTTAGGTCCACGGGTCAGGTCAGCCCCGTTCACAATACGGCAGCGCATGACGTAGCAGGGCTTCTTCCCGCCTTGGCACGGCTGTGCAGCGAGGGTAGTCGGCCAATTTTGACTGGCAGCAAGACTGCACTCGAGGTGTTGGTCGTGAACCGCAAGAAAACGGCTCAAGAACGGCCCAGAGCGGCCGCGACCTTCGAAAAGATCAAGCGCTATTGCGCTCAGGCCATGGCGCATGTGGCGCGCATGGCCAGGGGACTCAGGCAACCAGGCCGCATGTCTAGGCTGCCGGTCAAGGCACAGAGAAACCGCACGCAGTCGTTGTCACAGCTGCCATGCTGAAGTCAACAATACATAAGGTGCCCCGCGGTAGCTGCCCCTCTCCGTATTTATATCCACCCAAGGAGTCCAACACTTCACATATACCCCTTTGTGAAAGAATTTTTTGATTCCCGGAATCTTTCTGCCACTCCATTGTTTACGTCCGGCTTCTGCTTCCCGCCCAGGCACGCAGTGCGGCGCAAGTAGATGATATTACATAATACAACAATCCAAACGCAGTGTCCCCGAAGTACTCATTCATTGGAAAGTGTGCCTTGTCCGGTCCCTGTCACCTCGTGACTAAGCGTTCTCCAAAAGATCAAATATCCAGCGCAGCCAATCCCCCCCAGGTGTGGGAGGGAGGGCGAAAACGAAGTGAGGTGTGTGCGCGCGCGCTGCCCCAAACGTCCCACTACCCTGCTAGAAACTACGGGCAGCACGCGTGCCCCAAAACTTTGCATTTCCAATGCATTGTGATCGTCCCATGGGCGACCCCCGCCCTTGCCGGTAGACAGGTACTAAGACCCAACCAGTATTTTTCTCCCGCCCGCCTTCGGGCCTCCCGTAAACTAGCTTACTCCGCAGACTCCGTAACCAACACTTACGTCCGGCTTCCTGCGGCTTCCCGCCCAGGCACGCAGTGCGGCGCAAGTAGATGATATTACATAATACAACAATCCAAACGCAGTGTCCCCGAAGTACTCATTCATTGGAAAGTGTGCCAAGCTCCAAAAGATGACCCGCCCCAGCTTCAGGGCCCTGCGGACGGGCCGGGCTGGGGCGGGGGAGAACCAGAGGGTGCAGCAGGGAGCGCAGCCTCCGGTAGAGGCCCGAGAGCCGGTGGAGATGAGGAGGGGGAGCCGCGGAAGACATCTTGGATCGCGGCGCGGAGGTGGTCGGCGGGCGCCACCATCCACCCGAACAGGCGGAAGTCGAATTCGGTGGGTGTCCGCTGACGGTCGATGTAGCGCCAAAGGGCCTTGGATTCAGGCGCCCACCCGCCCCAATCGCGTATCCGGCTCTCAGGGACGAGAATCGAGAAGGCGGATGAAGCGCCTGTCCGCCGGGTACTGTGGTGGGTGAGATTGGGGGTGGGGAGATGTGCCGAGGCAGAGCCGAACCAGCCCCGAACAGCCGCGGCGGTGGGAGGCCGCCGATCGGCCGGTAACTGCAGGAGGTGTAGAGGCCCAGCTCCCGGGCGGCGGGCCCACTGCGAAGCGCGGAGATCCCGGAAATGGCGGATCAGGGCGGGGAGCTCGGGCACCCCGCGGGTGTCAAATTCGCGGAGGCGCCACTGTAATTCCCTGGTCGCCTTGGTCTTGAACCGGCGTTCACGAAAAACGAGGAGATGGCCCGTCACGTAGAGGTCCTCGTTATATATCTCGTGGGCCGAATCGGCGCGTAGGAAGAAGATGGTGTCGAGGACTGCCGATAGGAATGGGCGCACGGTAGTCGCGGTGGAGGCTTGGAGTCCGAGGTGAATAAGACGAAACACCCCAGAGGCCGGAAAGGCCTGAATGGAGTCCCGGTACTCCTCCCCCGGGGCGTGCTGGCGCCATGCGTCGCGAAGCCGGGCGGTGATCGAATCATGGGCGTGGAAATGGCGAAGGCCCACCCAGCGGTGGACCGTAGAAATAGCCGAGACGTATTGGTCAAGGCTGCGCACGGCCACCCGGCCTTCCGCCCGGAGGAAAAGAACGTAGGCGTATATCTGTTCCGGGGCGGCGGGGATCGCGCGCCAGCCCCGCCGGGCGCACATACCGGCAAACTTCAGGAATTTGTGCCAAATGCTCCGACGTCCCGACTCCGCGTTGGCGTCCACTTGGTCGCGAATGATCGCCCAGCGTTCCTCCGGGGTAAGGCGCAACAGGTTGCCGAACTGAGAAGCCGTAGTATCCACGATCGGCAGGAGGTGGCGCAAAATTTCGGACGTGGTCTGGCTGGCTACTGGAAGGCAGGTGGCGGGCAAGGGGGGTAGGCCGAAGGGGTGAGGCGCGGTAGAATCCGTAGGGCCATCACGTGCCAGTGAGCCGCT